AATGGGAACTGTAGTCTTAGATGACATGCAAAAGTGAGGGGCCTCAATTAGGTTCTGTGTTTTGTAAACAATAATATTTATAACTTTAACTTTAAAATAGGTTTCCTCATAGATGGATTTTGGGCACACTCTTAATTCTAGCTCCAATCTAAGAACAATGAATTATTTGGACATGGACCTGCTTGATTCTCACCCTCATAAAGAGATCCCTGGAGATATGGATGCTACAGCAAAGTGTGGTGAAGAAACTAGATGGTGCCTTGTTGTCAGAAAAAAATAGTGTCTAGACTCTTAAAGGCTTCTCTTTAAGCAAGCAGCCATCTAAGTGAGGCATCAACTAAGACCACATGGAAGAAGCACACCAGCCTGAGATCTAGGGATTGTAAATAATTACATCCAAATCCCAAGGAGGGTATTAGGCACACATCAATTTTGCATTCTCTTTACTGATGTTATAGTCTCATTTAAAAAGAAGTCACACACACTCCCACTCATACACACACACCAGTTTTTCTTTTCAGGTGAAATTTTCGTAAGTAGGAATTTCAGGAGGTTCCTCATTCTGTGGTGGTCGTGGTTTCCCTGTGAGCTAGGAGAGATAAGAAAACAGTTAACAAATCCTGGATGTCTGCATTTCCCTAAGCATTGTGCTGATGAGAAACTAGAAGATGAGGCCAGGCTATGACTGGTTGGTCTGTTCTATGGAAGTAAAGACATGTGGACTGGACTAGGGAAGGCATAATCAGTCAAGTTATTGACAAGGATTTTGGAGTATTTGTTCACTGTAGAACTGAGGACTGAACTATGCAAAGGAGATATCAAACCCTTTAGTTCACCAAATCAAGGGGATGAAAATATGACAATTAAAAACCTTTTCCTCCATAGACCACTGTCTAATCATGCAAATGTTTGCCCTAGTTGGAGAAAGAGAACCATTCATATAACTCTGGTGTTAGAGGTTAAGTTGCAAAGTAATGGTACAGATCCTCCATGTTCTACGTATTGCAAGAATTCGTTTGCCAGAGAGTGTTCATCTAAAGAACAGATGAGCATGGTGCAGAGAGGAGGAGGCAGTGGAGGAGGGCCCTTCATGGTTTGACAAGAGGATAAGGCTTTGAGCTATGGAGTAGCAATTAGTAACTAAAATAAGCTTGAGAATTTTCTCATCAAGTGGAAAATAGTGGCTTTAGAAGAGCCCCCAACTTGCTGCTTCAGAATTCCTAGTCCTGAACATCCTGAAGACAAGGAATAAATGAGATTCATGGAAAAATACATCTGGATTCCCGTTTACATTGTGAGGAGGGTGGTTTCAGCAGTTTCCATTACCTGTGGTTGGTAGGAGAGCCACGGAGGAGAAATCCAGCACAGATAATTGGACACACAGGTTAGTGGCTGGTGTCTATCACAGTAAGAGGGACCAGTATTGAGCTAAGCACAAAAAGCCAAGAACGCAGCTTTGGGAAAGCAGTGAATATATGGATTTGTCCTCAAGGCCAACATAATTCCTGCCTTTCCCACAGGTTGATGATTGGGGGAAACTAACAGATGGAAATATGACCAGGACTTTGTTCTCTGACTTATAACAGAGGGAATCTGGAAAGCTAGTATTCCATGGTAGGAAAACTATCACTTTGATAAGTTAAAGTCCAAGTACATAATCCTGCTTTAAATATCATTCCTACAGATTCTCCCCTAACACCGATGCCTTAAAGTGAGCACATGGTTGAGTCTATCTCCCTACAGAAGTGGACATTCTGTTGTTATCTCCTCCTGCCGCAGTATCCATCCCCACTCATACCTGCCCCCAATGTGGGTATTAGGTCTCCTCACCTGTGAGCTCAGGGACTTTACTGTGGTTATCACCCACCTTGTGAGGTAAGTGACTACTGAATATGAATGACTTATGGCTACCTATAAATATCCCAAGATAGTAAAGATGCTCTTTCTCCTGCTCTCTCTTCTCTCACCAACACATGGACCACCAAGAGTCCTGAGGTGAGCATGCTACCACAAAATGTGTCTGATCCTTTATTTTACACTCTCTCCTATCTTCTATGACCTTACTATGATCTTTATATATTATAATCATACAATTGTGCCTCAGTTGTTAGAGGCTGGTTTCCTCTGACAGATGATGTGACTAATAAGTAGTAAAATTCCCTTCAATTACATATGCTTTTTGTTTAAACTAGTTAGAGTTAGATTTTGATGGTCTATGACTAAAGAGCTGCAACCACACCCTGTCTCATCACTGCCATCCCTCTAAGAAAAAGGGAGATCTTGGGAGACAAGTGGTAGAAGGGGATTAAGTGAATATAGAAAATTGTCCAGACAAAAGGAAAGCCTCAGAGAGATTACAGAGTGCTGGCATATATCATTGATTTCAGCAAGCTCACATCGTTGCGTTTGTTTCCAAATGAACCAAATCCAAATGCATAGAAGTGGGGCAAAAAACATCAGTGAGCGAATGATCCAATGCTTCGTACTTCTTGCAGGACCTTGAAAGAGAAAAATGAGTGATATTGATATAAATGATGACAATTGAGATAGGAGTAAATGATAGATCATTTTTGATGGCCATTGATCCTTCCTCTTAAAAATCCATGATTGTGTAGATGTAGTTATTTCCATCCAACAACTAGATGTATTCTAGCCACAAAGTTGTGATAGCAAATAAGTCCCTGGCTGTAGATATTTATGACTTGCTCAGTGACACAGGGTGTAAGTACCCGAGCCAGTATTTGAGTATTTGAGCAATCTCTCTGATTCCCAGCATACTTACCACTAACATATACTTCCCCTTTCTGCCAGTGGTGATTGAGGGGTTCCAGGCTTCTGATGGAAGGAGTCTAGATGCCTATTGAGCCAGGATCTATATACATCTGCCAGACTCTGTGTAGACCATCCCTTCTTTCTGGTTCCTGAACTCAGAGTCCCAGTTTTGCTTTTGCTGTGTGACCTTGTGTAAGTTTCTTTGTCCCTGTGAGACTTAGTGTCTTAATATAATGGGGAATACTAGGAATATCGCCTTCATAGCATTTTTGTGAAGATTATGCTAAAAAGCACAAAAGCCTAGACTAATGTTTTCCTTTACTAAGAGCCATTAAGGCTACTTTTAAAAACAACTCACATAGCCTTTTCCATAGGTTATTTGTGTCCTTTTTCAGATTAATTTCCCATATACTTTTCGCCACAAATCTGTAATGCTATGATTTTTAGTATTATAATCAGCACTGTGCAAGCTCATGAAATGTGGCTAGTTTTAGAAACAAATTTTACATTAAATGAAAAATTTGCACCTGATACTATAATTACTAAGTATATTGAAGCAAAAGGGATATGTAAATATATTTTTGCAGTTGTAAACTTTATCAAGTCTAAAATCACATCCAGTATGCCCATGAGTATTTATAATCTGAATTGTGATATGCTGTAAAATACATATTAAATTTTAAAAAAGTTAATACAAAGAAGACAATAACAATTTCATGGGAAATTTAAAAACACGAGCTAAAAAATGAAACATTGTAATGATAATATTATGGACTCTCACCCCAAACTCACTGCCATCGAGTTGATTCTGATTCCTAACAACCTGATAGGGCAGGATGGAAACACCCCAAGGCTAACTCTTTAAGGGGAGCAGAACACTTAATCTCTCTCATATGATATTCTGGATATATTTGATTAAATAAAATATGAAAATGAACTTTAAGGTTTCCTGTGGGGGACAAGCCTCCCCACAACTGAATTGGTCCCAGGGGCAGTTGTGTAATTAGGAGTGAATTAAAGAGACCTCAGACAAAATAAAGCATGCAAGGGCTTATCGGTTTCATGAAGAACAGAATCAGAATGAGATCATACTTTTATTGACCCACAGACTTTTATCATCTTGGGCCAGCAAGCTATGGTAAGCTCATACATAACCAGAAGGGTTGGACTACAGGCATGCATGTGACAGGAAGATGGGTGGAGTCAATATGGCAGTCTAATCTTGATTGTCTCTGACCTGGCTTGACGTTAGGTGTCTTTGAGCTCTTCTCCAGGGGAATAATCTGTGATTATCAGAAGAGTGGGCCCTACTTAGGATGGGGCAGAAATAGATTATGATTGCTTTTGATGGCAGGCAGCCTTCAGTCAGAGAGCCTTCAAGAGTATATTCAGTGGCCACGTGTTTTCAAGTAGCAACTTACATTTGGCATTATTATGGGGGGACATGATGGAGAATAACTTTTACTTAGGAGAATGTGAGTGGGACACATCTCCAACCTACAAACGTGAAGGTTTCTTCCATGGGAGCCTCGACACCGCCCCCCCCCCCCATTCCTTAACATAGGAAAGTTGAGAGTTTGCCTACATACACTCTCTTCCCAGTGCTGTTTCCCACAGTTTTCCTTTTTAGTATGATTTTTAGAAAATGCAAAATTATGTAAGTGGTTCCCATTATACTTTGGTTGGAATATGTTGTTCTCTCCCCCACCCTCCCTTGCTCTACTCTCAAAGACACTTCAAATGCATCTTCTGTTGGAGTTTTAGCACGTTCAGAGCTATATCTCGGCATTGTGATAAGGAATGTGATAAGGAATGTGAGAGGGAATGCGATACGGAGTGTCATGAAGAACGTGATAAAGAATGTGATAAGGAAGCTGAAATTGTTGTGGGTGATAAGGAAATTGAAATTATTCTAGGTTTGCAATAAGAACGGAAGCAAACAGGATGATCCCAAGCTTGTCTAAAGGTCAGCTTAACTGCACAAATATTCTGCAGCTTCTTAGAAAACCACATGCTGGTGTAGGTTAAAAGATAATGCAAAGTAACACATTCTTTCTGTGTGACCCAGTAAACTGTACGTCTATAAAAGTTTGTCGCCAGTCTTAGCTTGGGGTCTGGTATCGCCCCTCAGCGCTGAGTCTGGGTTTGGACCCAATAAACTTCTTAAACTACTCGGTCTCAACTCATTTTGTTTATTCAACTACCTGCTTACAAAGGTCATCTTCACACTAGTCCACAGAGCAGGTTAGGGTATCCTTGCAGATGCCATCCTCGGGGCCTAGCATTGCAGGGATATTTGGCTTCCTCAGCCTCCTTGTGTGAGGAGAAAGGCAAGCCCAGTGTGGTGTCAGGTTTACCCAATGAACCCCTATGTCTTTACGTGTTCAAAATATCTTTGCTAGAGTTATGTGTTGACCCAGTGTTAGGGCTGGGTAAGTGCTAGGCCATCAAGTGTCACTGGCCTTTTGGAGTGTGCCCGCCCCTTTCTTCCTTAGCAATGAAATTGTAGGCATGTCACGTCACCTCTCTGGGCCACTGATGCTCATGTATGAAATAAAGTAGTCATTGCAATCTGAAAAAAAGATATGATATCATTCTATATGGTATTTTCACAGCCGTAAACACACACAAATTATTTAGGAAAAAAAACAGCCCTTCTATGTGCTTTGAAAACTCTTCAAAGACTTAAATTTGGGGTCCTACTATCGTATTTATTTATTTATGTGAGTCAATGCAGGTAGACATGGTACTTGTCACATAGTAGGTGCTCAGTAAGTGTTCATGTTATAGATGGAATTGGGTTGCCAGTCATCTTCCCCCAACCTCCTTACATTTCAATCCTAAACTCTGGTACCTGTGATTGTGACCTTGTTTGGAAACAGTCATAGAAGATGTTAGCAGTTAAGTTCACATAAAGTCGCACCTGGCTAGAGTCTGTCTTTATCCAATTAGAGTGGTGTCCAATAGAAGAGAAGAGGCAGAGAGGGACTGACAGTAGAGACAGCTACATGAGGAGGTACATCTCCATTTCCAGGAACACCTGGGAGTGCCAGAAACAGAGCTAAGAAAGGAAATTCCCCTAGAGCCTTCAGGGGGAACATGGCTAGAAACATAGTGGAAACTCTAACTTTGGATTCAGCCCCCAGCAAGGTCAGGCAACACATTGACGTTGGTGGAAGCCACTCACTTTGTGAAACTGTTTCACAGTAGCCCGACTCCTGCAAGCAGTGACAGTCTCTGGAATTCAAAGGGGGCCGTTCTTCCAGGTCTGTGTAGTTGCTAAGAGTTGGCATTGACTAAATGGCAAGGAGTGAGGAAACTAACATGATTAGCAATTTTAAAAGAAAGAACAGAAAGGTTATTTGCTCCTGGTTTATGTTTTCACTTAAAATGGCATTGGAGCTTAAACTCAGAGCACCAGTTTGCAAAAGGCTAGGAATGAGAGTGATGGATCAAAATCCATATGAAGCCCAGGAAATGAGGGAGAAGGCTGCACCTCTTTCTCTCATGATGAAGGGAGGTGAGTGGCCACACTCTCAGAGCCACAGAGCCACCTGAATACTGACAGGGGCTTTCTCTTCAAACATCTATATCCAATACAGCCGGCTCTAACCCTTATCAAAAATGCCAATGTTCTATACAAAGGCAGCTTGGAGAGTTTCTGATCCCACCTGATAACCAATTCCGAAAGCAGGCACAAGTTCCTGGGAGTGGGTGGTGGGGGCCTTCCTAGAGGGTTATAGGAAGCAGAGTCTTGGCAGGTAGGGTTTTCCAGGCCCTGGCTATAATGTTCCTCCTGTGAATGGACAGGTGTGAATTGCATAGCACCCTTAGTGATCTGAGGCATTTCGGTACAAGGAGAGGGACGGGAAAGGTGGGAAGCAGGGACGGCAGCAAAGAGGGGAAATCTTGAGGGAAGGAATCTAATGATAAACGGGCTGTCCAGACTCACAGTGGATGCGCAGGGCGAAGTGCTTCGTGGAGGTGACCTCTGAGCACACGTAGGCACTGTAGGGGCCAGCGTCCTCCATCTTCAGCTCACGGATCTTCAGGGAGTAGTCCTGGCTGGAGACCAGCACTCTGTCCTTCTCCGTTTCCTTGGACTCAGTAAGTGAGCCTTCTGCTGTTACCTCCCCTGACGCTTTGCTGAGAATTGATGTGTTAAACCTCCAGACAACTTTCTTTATGCTATGATTGGCTGGGACTTTCAGGGGCAGGGTGACAGACTCCCCCAGGATCCCCAGCACTGTCTCCCTCATTGCTTCTCCTCCGAAAGCTCCTGGACCTGCTGTCGGAGACGAGATAGTGCAGCTCAGTCACGATCTCCCACCTCCCTTGCCCTTCAGTCAGCCTGCCCAAGTCAACACCCTTCCCCCCCAGCCTCTGATGAGGCTTCCTTCTGCTTTCCCATGATCACCCGTTCTTCCTGGTACTGACCCCTATAGACCAGACCTCTCCTGCCCTCCCTGTCTGTGCTCCTAAGGGAAATCCTGTCTTCCTAACTGCCCAAGAAAAACAAATTCTAGACTCTCTTCTCACTTCCTCTGTCTTTGGTGTTCTCAGATTACCCAGGGAGTTCCCAAGTCCCTTGCCGACCTCTTTCAGTGTCCTGAGGGGACAGCAAAAGGATTCTTCAAGTCTGTTTTCTTGCTTTCCATCCACGTATGTGTCCTGCCAGCACCTACAATAAATCAAACTGTTTCTGGAATCCCCTGGAGTCCTGAGTGGCGTCAGGTACCTGTGCATAACTCCTGGACACTGACAGGGCGGGACCTGTTCTGGCTGACAGGGTTGGTGGCGCTGCAGGTGTACACCAGATCCGGGTCACAGAGCATCCAGGAGATGGTGAGAGTGGAGCCCTCGTGGGACTCAGAAGCATGGGGTTCTGCTCGGGTCCATGTGAACTGAACGCTTGTCTCCGCTCTCTCCATGAAGCACGTCAGGGCGATGTTACAGGAGCCACTGTCATTCATTGTGGCATTAAGTGTGACTTGGGGTTTCTGCAGCTGCCCTGCGGGAACACAGCCAAAGGAAGACTAGTCAGACCCTTCCTGGCGGGTGAGCCCTGGAACAAGATGGTGAGGGTGGGGGACCAAGCAGCAGGGCTGTCAGGCTTTCCTGTTCCAGCAGCGTTTTCTCTCAGCTTCCCACTGGAGGTTGGGGTGAGAACCTATCTTCTTGCCTAGTATGTCCTGCACAGGGGTTAGTCCTATGGCTCACCCTGATTTATATAGTCTAAGTAAGTCTTTCCCTCCCTGTCGCTAATGTGAACATCTTGAGAACTGGTTCAGTACCTCTGTGCTAACAGCTCTGTCCTGGCTTGGCCTGGGAAGGCACTCCTGGCTGTGTGGTGAAACAGTGGATGGATGAAACGCTAGCTCTGCCTCTGTAATGAGTGGCCCCAGCTAGGAATCCTCTGTGTTTAGAACTCGGTGTTCTTCCTGAGCTTCTTCCTGGTCCCGTCCTTCACTTTTGTTCTGTCTCTTCTCTCCATAGTGTGTGCTCATCATTAATGATAATTGACTTTATAATTAAATGCGATTTGTGCCTAGGTAATCTATGTACACAATTGAAAGAAATAAAAATAGTACACCCTTAACAAGGTCATTACCTCTCCTACTGTTGCCCCCGCCCCTCCTGCCTATTTGCTTTCCCCAGGAAAATGTATGAACTCCCTGATGATTCTTCCACAAGATATACAGATGTCATCTTGCATATGTACATATATTCACAAACATACATATATGCATTTACATATGTAGACAACGCACACACTTATTTTTTTAAAGTTCAGAAATGTATATACAGTATGCTGATATATATGAGTGATCACACATATATATCAGCATATTATATGAGTATATATAGATCTGCACTTAAAAAATTAACAGTGTTTCTTACATATTGTTTTATGTGATTACACATATGCTTAAATAAAACCAAATATTCTCCTAGGGTTCCAGTTCATATAGACATGGTTGATTCCAGATAAAGTGTGTTTAAACTTGTCTCTGTGATTAGTGGAGGACTAAGAACTAGGTGTCTCATCTTAGACTTGTTAGGATGCCTTCGAAGAAGAATGGAGACTGTTTTTTGGCCACGTGGGGGGAAAAATCTATTTTGAAGTAGGCGCTAGCATCAATCTTTTAATAAAACTCAAGGGTCTTTCACAATCATTTAGGCTTTGCAATAAGTTCACGGAATGCTGTCTTCCGTAACACAGGGTTTAGATGCATCAAGTGTTTAAGGAAAACTGAGAAGCCCTCAAAGATGGACTGAAAGCACAGAGGTCAGCTCCGAAGGTCATGGCAATCGTCTTTCTGGGATTACAAAAGAGTAGTCTCACTGAAATTTTCTGGAAGGACAGAGGGCCACCATGAAGGCTTCTTATGAAGAAACATTAAGAACATTGAAAACCACCTTGCTGAGAAAAAGGCAAGCAATGTTGCACGAAGAGTTTTTCCACCACCAATAAACTCACTGCCCTGGAGTCAATGTCGACTCATTGTGACCCCGGTGTGTTTCTGGGACTGAACTATTTGCAGGAGTAGGAAGCCTTGTCTTGCTCCCTTGGGGGAGCTGGTGGTTTCAAACTGCAGACCATGCGGGTTGCAGCCAGTGTTTAACCACACCACCACCAGGGCTCCCAAGCACCTTCTCGTTCTTCCATGTTAGCAAGGGTGTGCCTATGAGAATTTCATTGGGAAATTTCACCGTACCCTGCCTCCGGCCCTGATCCTGCCTCTTCAGACCGTCCTTTTGTTCTCCAAACCCAAAGAACATTTAACGGAACACAGTCTGTGACACTCGGGGATGGGAACCTGCCATTCTGACAGCGTGGACACTGCATACGCGTGTCTGCTGTCGCGTTGTTTGAGAGAAGAAATGGGAGGTGGTCCAAAAGTGTGTGAGTCGGGGACAAGTTCCAGGAAATATGAAAATTACGTAATATGTGAAGATTTTATGGATGCGCCTTTGACTCTTGAGATCTTTATATATGGAAATGGGCACACACAAAAAAGAGATAGTCTTATTTACCCTAGAGAGATAAATTCCAAAAATAAAAATAAAATCTGTCCTACCAAATAAAGATCAAAACTTAGAAACGCTCTCTGGAACTCACCATAGATGTGCAGGGTGAATCTCTCTTCAGTGATGAAGTTAGAATTCACGTTGTTTATCTGGGCATTGTAGGACCCTTCAACCTTCTGTATCAGGTTGCTGATGCTCAGAGAGAAGCTCTGACTGGAGATGCTTACTCGGCTCTGGTAGCTTTTGTCCAAAAAGGTAACTGGTCTTCCTGGATGCATGATAACAATTGCCTTTTGGAGATGAATCCATATGACATGCTCAATCTCTGTGTCCATTGAGATGTTCAGGGGGAGAGTCACTGACTTCCCCAAAGTCCCCACTATGTTTGTTGAAACAGCATCCTCACCCGAGGCTCTCAGTCCTGCAGAGACAGAAGAGGTATGTGGAGAAGCTGCTGGAGACCTCAAGCTGGCATTCATTCATTCATTCATTCATTCATTGATTCACTCAGTGAGCATGTGTTGAGCAGAAATGTCAGGCACTGAGGATAGAGGCTTGAGATAGGATTCTTACTTTTTAGAACCTAGGTAGTAGGTATGTATATGGACATTCATTGTAAACTCTTTAGCCTTTTCTGAATTGTTGAAAATTTTCATTAAAAAAACCCATTATGGGCACAAAAGGAGCATCTCTCATCCTTGTCTCACCCCACCTTCCTTATCTGATCCTAGGATCTCTGGCTTACCTGGGTTTGCTAGGGAGAACTTCTCTGTCCTCAGAATCCCTGATAAACACTGTCACCAAGGCTTCCAGGAGCCCACCTTTCAGTCAAGGCACCTGACTTTCATGTAGAGATTCTGTGTGTCTGCTGGAAATCCCAGCTTGAATTCCCAGATCCCATGACTTCTGCAGCTAGAGAGTACTCTAGGGATTCTAGATTAAGTCAGATGGGTTTAGCTCCCAGAGTTCTCCAGGAATTCTGGGTGGAAAATTGAAGAGAAAAGTTTAATGAAAGATGAGGGGCATACACCCAGCCTAGAAAGAGGTAGAAAACCTGAGGGGTTTTGGTTAGAGGGTCTATTGGTTAGAGGGTATGCAGACAAGGCGACTCCTCAATTGTTGTAAATGTCTGGGTTCTTTGCTCAAAGGTCTATTGGTTAGAGGGTACACAGACAAGGAGACTCCCCAATTGTTGTAAATGTCTGAGTTCTTTGCTCAAAGGTCTTTTGGTTAGAGGATACACAGACAAGGAGACTCCGTAATTGTTGTAAATGTCTGGGTTCTTTGCTCAAAGGTCTATTGGTTAGAGGGTACACAGACAAGGAGACTCCCCGATTGTTGTAAATGTCTGAGTTCTTTGCTCAAAGGTCTATTTGTTAGAGGATACACAGACAAGGAGACTACCCATTGTTGTAAATGTCTGGGTTCTTTGCCCAGATCTGCACTAGCCGAGCACCAGAGCCTTGAGGAGAGGCACCTAGGGAGAACCTGGGAAGTAGCCTGGATGTGAGAAGGTAGTTGTGGTGGATTCTGAGCTACCTCAAAGATAGATGCTGAGTTGTTGTGAAAATGTGTTCCATCCAGAATAAACTACTTATTAGTGTTAGGTGTGCATCAAGTACTTTATATGAATCACCTCCTTTAGTTCCCCAAATTATTCTAAACTTAGTCCTTATTGATATGAGAGAAAAGATGATACTGCTGGTCCTGAAAATAATTACACTCATAATCATCTATGGAGCAGTTCGTCTCTGTCCTATAGGGTCACCATGAGTTATCATTGACTTTATGGTATGGTCAGTGAACTAGTGAGCCCATAATAGAGGGAGAGCTAAAGTCACATTCCTGAGGTGACAGGGATGGTAGGTTGCAGAGGCTAGATTTCATGTAAATGGTGACCCTTAGGCTGGAAGTACCGACCACCCTATCCAGGGAGTGCTGGTGCATATGACCATGCTTTGATGGCATCTCTCCTCCTGTCAGAGAGAAACACGGCCTCACAGACTATGTCTGGGAGTGGGGAGCCGCATGTGGGCCCTGCAGGTCAAAAGCTATTGCAGCAAAACTGCTCTCCGCGTAGGGACAGTGGTCCAAGTTATCAACCTTATTTCTTTTAACGACAATGTTTGATAAATTATAAAAGATGGAGCAATGGAAATGACAATTGAATTTGGCTTTTTGTTGTAGTTATTGTTGCTAGGTGCCATCAAGTCAGTTCAGACCCCATAGGGACCACGTGCGCAACTGAAGGAGATACCGCACGCCTTGTGCCGACCTCATAATTGGGCCGGTGCCTGAGCCCTTGATGCGGCCGCTGCATTGGGCTTGCCTAGCCTTCAATCCTTTAAAAGCATGCATGTAATAATAACCAGTGTGGCAACAATCGTAACTTCTACGTACTATGTCCTAAGAAGGTTATGCAGGCCATCTCGAATCTATCAAATGATTTAACGTGATCTGCTTTGCTAAATCCATTACACAGTTAAGGACCAGAGGCTTACACTTCTAGTCAGTGCTGGAGTGCGGCCTTAACATGAAATGTGCAGATATTGAATTAAGGGGGTCTTTTAATCCTATTTACCTAAAAACATTAAAAATGTTGCCTTTTATGGCAACGAGGAAGATGTAAAGTCACCTTAATGTGTGGAGTCAGAGAGAGGAGGAGACTACTTGGTGCAGAACTCCTTCCTCTGCATGGATCATCGGAGGCTCCAGTCACACTGGATGCAGCTTCTTTCCTGTTCACCTACAGAACAAGGCGCAGCCAAAGGGCTGGGTGTGAATACAATGGCCCTGATAACTTCCAATGTGCTTTTCCCATGAGTAAGAACAAAACTGAAAGTGAAGAGCGACCAGTCTCACGTTTCCTGCTGCTTGCCACGGAGGTCCAGGCTCCCCAACTCCCACCCACAAACGTAGGGTTTTTTTCTAGAGCTTCCCTCCTCCTCCTCCCAACAACCGCTCCTCGGCACTTCGTGCCACCTGTCCCATCCTTCAGGGCTCCGGGATAAACCAATCGCTGAGGGCAGTACGGCCACACTCCCAGGTGGTTGAGATCCCAGGTGGCTGATGACCTTCCTTGGCGGTAGGTATGGAGTCCTGGATCAGCTCTGCCTGCTGGGTGGTATTGGCCGCCCCCATGCTGCTAGGAGATATTTCCTAGCGACTGGCAGGGGTTCATCCTTGAAGAAGAAGGAGGCCCTTAGAGAAAAGAGAACAATGCCAACACTGAGCAGAGCAAGGCTAGAGATCACCTCGCCCAGGCCCACCGGAGACCTCCCAGTGAAGCCTGGTCCAGGAGATCTGAGAAACACCAGGAATACAGAGAAACGAGCGCCAACTAGTCTGCTCCTCCCTGGCACACTGGAAGCCGGCTGGGATGGGGTGGGGTGGGGTGTTTTCTTGCTTCTTGCTGTGGATTTGATCTACACTGAGCAGGCACAAACCCTTTTTTTTTTAATTGGAAAATAAATGTCATGGTAAGAGGAATGTAGTGTGATCTTAGTTATTTGCGATGAGGACTAGAATACCCTCTATTGGGGGCGGGGGAACACGCATACACTCACTTATACACATGAATAAATACACATGCACATGCGGACCCAGAACAAGGTATAGTCAGCCGGTATTGCCGTAAGGAGAGGACGCGAACAGCGCCAGAGAAGCCCTAGCTTCGGGGTACGCAGTGGTGAGCAGAGTTGGTGCTTACCCATGAGGAGGAAGAGCAGAGGGGCCCAAGGGGTGGGAGAGGGTTTGTTGGATGGAATCCTCAGCCGATGAGTCAGGCAAGGTCCTGGAGCCCAGTCTTCTATGGATCTCTTTGGACCCGCCATGATTGTCTCACTTTCAGCTCTCAGCACGAAGGAGGAAGAATTTCCTTCAATTTCCACAAAGGTGTGTACGCCTGTCCGTGCTTGTGTGAGCGCCCGCACTCTGGAGGGGGTGAGGTCTAACCTGCATGGACTCCTCGACAAAAGGCTACTGAGACTCTTCGCTGGATGCGCAATATCATTTTTAGCTTTGCGTCACCTTTCTCACTTCCTTCTTCTCAGGGTTGACCTTTGAGACGCACTGGGTTTTTGTTTTTGTTTTCGTTTGCACTTGACCATGCTTTTATTTTAATTAAAAAATACTTTTACTGGGGGCTCTTACATCTCTTATCACAATCCATACATTCCTCCAATGTGTCAAGCACATTTGAACATATGCTTCCATCATCATTTTCAAAGCATTCTCTTCCCACTTGAGCCCCTGATATCAGCCCCCCCATTTCTTCTCCCTCCCTCCCTCGCTCACCCTCCCTCACGAACTCTTGATAAGTTACAGATTATTTTTTCCATATCTTACATCATCCTCCATCGCCCCTCACCTTTTCTGTTTTCATTATTCGTCCCCCTGGGAGAGGGTTCTAGGTTGATCCTTGTGATTGATTGCCCCTTTCTCCCCCGACCCTCCCCTAATCCTCCTGGTATCTCTACTCTCATTGTTGGCCCTGAGGGGGTTATCCATCCTGGATTCCCTGTGTTGAGGGCTATGATCTGTAGCAGTGTGCATGCTCTGGTCTAGTTAGATTTGTAAGGTAGAGTTGAGGTCATGATAGTGGGGTGAAGGAGGCACCAAAGAGCTAGAGAAAAGTTGTGTGTTTCATCGGTGCTATACTGCACCGTGACTGGCTCATCTCTTCCCTGTGACCCCTCTGTGAGGGGATGTCTAACACACTGGGTTTTTGTTAAATTAGAAGATTTCAGTAGTTGCATGTCCAACCCCTTCACAGTGAGGCTTTCTTCATCCCCCTGTTGTCTGCAGGGGACTTACTGTTTATTCTCCTTATTTCTTGCTACACATCAAGTCATCATTTAGTGCTTGACCTTCTCCATCTCTTAGTCTATGTGGTGTGATGAAACTTTTCTCCAACACATTGCACATATCGATTGCTTAATCACAGCACAGCTTCCTGAGAAAGAGGTTAATAAGTTACCCTGATCTTGTAGTCAGTAAGTTTAGGGCCTAGGTAGTCTGGGATGGAAAAGGAAGAGAGAGAGGAGTGTGGGATTTTGCCTGTGGAGAACATTTCCGAGGATGTTTGTCAGCTGGTGCTACATATCTCAGAAATTTCATATTTCAGACTGCCTCTGAAAATAGCGTGCTTTAAGTGCCTCCCATGTCTCAGCCAAGGCCTGACCTCATGGTTTGAACATGGCTCTTCACAGGGAGTTTCCGGAGTTGTGGCTGACAGTGCCATGACCTGGAGCGACGGTTTTATAAGCCAATCTAAGAGCAAAGAGGAGCTAAAAGATGTTTTGAAACATCCATATGATGCGAGGCAATGATCAGGAATTATGATCAGGGTGGACTTGAGATACGGTTCTTCTGTGAGGCAGCTTCTCAGTGGTGCCCAAAGCCCGGTCTCTCTCTGGCCCTGCATCTCAGCCAATGGCTCTTCAGGCTTCTTGGTCCTCTTGGGCTGGCTCTGTTGTTACCCTGCACAGGCAAAGGTTGTAAAGCTCTTTAAATCTTCCAATAAGTGCCTGTTTGGGGGGGGTGTCCACTTCCCCAACAAGCTGCGTGTTTAAAGGCACAGGGTTTGCTCAGTCGGAGGAGCCAAGCCCAAACGTGCTGTCTTCTTCGGGACTCCTGCTTCTGCTGCCCGTGCTGCTGCTGCTTCTCTGTCGCCATTCAGGGCTTGCTCAGCACTTCTCTTGGTCCAGCTCTCTGTCTCCTGGGTCAGGGTTTCTCAGCACAGGGTCTTTGAGTCGAAGGGACATGCTCCAGTCCCACGTCTTCTCTCTTTGTGGTGGTGAAAGCAACTCTTGGTTACCTGGTGGGAGTGAAAAACTCACCAATATTCTTGCTCAAAAAAAATGATCAAACTCACTGACAATGAGTTAATTTGAACTCACAGCAACGCTATAGGACAGGGTAGAACTGCTTCTGTGGCTTTCTGAGACTATAACGCTTTGTGGGAATAGAAAGTCTTGGCCTTCTCCCTTGGACCTGCTGGTAGTTTCAAAGAGCTGACCTTGAGGTGAGTAGCCATAGCATATGGACTATGAATCCTTCCCAAACCAGGGTGATATAAAGCATCCCTTCGGTGAGCCACAAACACTTTACTTGCCTAATCCCACCGAGTCATTTGTTGAGAGTTGTACGACGATAGCTCTAAGCACTAGATTAAGCTGTTCACAACAGCTCAGGAGGGGTAGGACACCACAGAGGATCTACAGGTTGTCCCAATCCACTGGCTGCTCTGTGGGCAGGATGTGGTGACAGGCCTAGTGGGGAAGTCCTGACAAGATTATCTTGCTGCTTCCCACAGCTGACAGGCAGTGGGGCAGGATGATGCAGGGGAGGAGGTTCCCTCTTCCCACCCCACTCCTGGTTCTCTGCTTCAAGAGGTGATGCACTGAAAGTCACCTCAGAAAGAGAGCCTCACAGATGAAGGTAAACTAGTGGCCATCTAGCTCAGAAGCAACAGAGCCCACATCAAATAAGCACACTGTAAGGATTTTTTGGGGCGCAAAACGGAGTTAAAGATTCAATTGGTAAAGTTTTAGAAGCAGGCTTTATTGAGAAGCTTGCAGGCGGGTTCAGCAACTCAGGTATTGAGCTAGTGAAACCACACGAAGGGGAATTCTGGCTGCGTTTTTATATCCCTTGGTGGCAGGCACAGCTGCATACAGGGGCTTCACAGGGAAGCGCTCATTAATCTTATCTATAGGTACAGGACGGGTGGAGTAAACATATCTTCAAAGAACATTCTTTCCCAGGGATATCTGGTTCTCAGAACTGGTGATTTTCAGCGAGGGGAGGGGAGGTCGATGTGAGGGAGGCCCATGAGAGGTGAGTTCTGAGAACCAAGAAGGTACCGGATTCAAAATGGAGTCCCTTGTGCCAAGACCAGGCACACACCAGCCTGGGCGATCATGAGGTGTTAAAGTGATCAGGTATCAGGCATCAAAGAACAAAAAATCATCATTGTGAATGAGGGGTAGTGTGGAGTGGGGACCCAAAGTCCATCTGTAGGTAACTGGACATGCCCTTGCAGAAGGGTCACAGGGAGGAGATGAGCCAGTCAGGGTGCAGTGTAGCAACGGTGAAACATACAACTTTCCTCTGTTCCTAAGTGGCTCCTCCCACCCCACTATCATGATCCCAATTCTAATTTACAAATCTGGCTAGACCAGAGGATGTACACTGGTACAGATAGGAACTGGAAACACAGGGAATCCAGGGTGGATGATCCCTTCAGGATCAGTGGTGAGAGTGGCGATACCAGGAAGGTGGAGGGAGGGTGGGGTGAAGAGGGGGAAATGTTACAGGGATCTGCATATAACCTCCTCCCTGGGGAACAGATAACAGAAAAGTGGGTGCAGGGAGATGTCGGACAGTGTAAGATATGACAAAATAATAATTATAAATTATCAAGGGTTCCCATGAAGGAGTGGGGAGCAGGGAGGGAGGGGGAAAATGAGATGCTGATGCAAGGGGCTTAAGTGGAGAACAAATGTTTTGAGAATGATGAGGGCAACGAATGTACAAATGTGCTTTACACAATTGATGTATGTATGGAGTGTGATTAGAGTTGTATAAGTCCCCCCCAAATTACCAATCAATCAATATGCTTGGGTGGGTGGGGGGAAAGAGCCTCACGGAGCAGACAAGCAACTTTCCTCAACCCTGGGTTCAGTGAGACCAAATGATCCTTACTTTCAATTGTTTCTTTGTCCCAGCAGTGGGAATATTGAGTCCGATGAATTCCTGGAAGCAGGCCCATTCATCTATAGATACTGAAGCCCCCATGCTTGATAAAAGTACCATCCTCACCCCCATTAAGATAACATTACATTCATAACACAGGGGAAATTGCTTGAGGATCTGAGCTCTTTACCCTGCTTCTGACTTGGGGTTCCCCCCTGCTTGGCCTCATCTCTCCCTGACCCTTCCCGATTCGCTCCAGACTCCCGTCTGCATGTGCTCTAGTTGATGTGGTCTCACGGTGGGACAGTTCAGACCCTCTCTGGAGGCACATTGTGCTGGTCGGAGAGGGAAGGAGTGCATGCAGCACACTTGTGAGGCGGCTGGTGCCTCTGGCTCCCAGACTCCCAGGATGGTTGGCATTTCTGTGTCCCACTTGACTTCCTTGCACCTGGTCAAAGGAGCTTTGCTGGCCCCCACTGGTTGCAACCAGAGGCCAAACTGGCAGTGTTTGCTCAGGGGGCAAGGGGCAGAAAATACCTCTGCCTACAGCCTGTTGTAAAGGGGCTTGAGAAGGGGCCACTGTGTTCCTTGCCTTTGGCCTTAAAGTTGGGGCTTCCTCCATCTCTGCAGATTCTTGAAGGGCTGGCTTGAGGCCAAGGGAAACTGATCCCCAAGACTAGATTCAGCCTGGGGATCAGTGTGCTCAGTTTTACAATGTTCAAACCCTCTAAGTTTTAGTGCTCATATCACTGGGAGGCACAGAGCAGAGTCCCGCTCAGAGTTTATGTGGTTTATTAGTTGAGACGTTAGCAAAAGAAGTCACCAATGTGAAGCACGTGACAGGAAACTCTTGAGCAGTGTGGTCTGGTCACTTCTGGGACATACTATTTCCTGGCACTGGTCTCTTGTGGGTCTTTAAAGAAAAAGTTTTTAACTCTACCTACTGAATTGAACTGACAAAGATGCTCCCAGGCCCTGTCACGTCCCTCCAGGTGCCTCTCCTTTGTGCTGTCGCTTCCCCCACAGTCAGAAGTGGACAGACTTCCTGGTTCTGAAGCTCTTTGAACTGTTTCTGGTGCAGGGGCAGGAGCAGGAGCAGCATCCCTCGGGAGAAGGCAGCACCATCTACACCAGG